GGCAAGCTGCCGAGACAAAACACCCTGGACAGACATACATCTAGAAAAATGTACAACACCCCATGTGAGGTGAAATAATATGCACCAAAATAACGTGGGTATAATAGAAACTTTAAAGGATTTTATCTGGTTTTACCTGAAATGAGGACTGCAGCGTGTGTTTTTAGTGCGAACTAAGACAGTGTAGCAGTTTTAACACAATTTAATAAAATAATTGTAACATATCAAGACACCTGAAGATGGCCGTTTGGGGCCAAAACATGTAGTGTCAAGATGTATAATGTTAAACTAAAAAGTTGAGTGGTGAATGGAAGAGTGTTGCAATATTGATGGACCATAAATAATGGACGTTAAGTTGAACAATTGCAACAGGATGCTGAAATACAGAATCATAAATTAAGTAAGGCTTGTTATGTAATTAGAAATATGAAATATTATATGTCTATTTCAGCTCTAAAGGTAATCTATTATTCATTTTTTCACTCCTTAATGAGCTATCCTATCTTTCCTATCTTTCCTATCTTTTGGGGAAACTCATCTCATAGTTCTACTACAGGGAGGTCGAAAAGTCGCTCACATCAAACTAAGAGTTGTTAAAAATTGTATTGCAATTAATATAATTATATCTCCTACTGCTAGATAGTACTGTAGGAGTACTGACAACGAGTAGAAATGCTATCTGTCATGAATCGGTCATACGTCTGCAGTATAACTTTATTTATTGCATGACAGACATGTCATTTTCCCAAGAACAACGAGTTTTCATGGAATTGAAGAGTTTGATCGGACTTTCTTCACTGACGAAGCGTGGTTTCACCTTAGTGACTACATAAACAGTCAAAACAATAGGATTTGGTCATCTGAAAAACCACATGTGTTACATGAAAAGCCCTTGCACTGTCAGAAAATTGGAGTGTGGAGTTTCTTTGAAACAACAGTGAACTGTCCAGTGTACCAATACATCATTACACAGTTTATTGCGCTTCTTGAAGTTGATGAACGTGGGTGTTGGTTGCAGCAAGACGGTGCCACATGTCACACATCTAATGAAACCATGCAGTTCTTGCGTGAGTTTTTTGGTGACTATCTCATTTCAAAAGGATTGTGGCCCCCGTGTTCCCCCAATTTGTCACCCTCAGATATTTAATAACTTGCCCATAGAGATCAAGAATATATCTAATAATTTTAAAAAGTTTAAGGTTGTATTAAGGCATTTCTTGAACACTCATAATTTTATACTGTGGATGAATATCTAAATAGATAACTGTATTATTGTTGTATTCATTGTACTGTCTAGTTGTGCAATAACTATGTATTCATTCCGTCATTCAGTGATTTATTTTCTGTGTATCTATGTATAGGTACAATCAAGGATATGGAAATAGTCCATTTTACAATGTTGATACAAAATTACGACGGTTGGAACTTTAATAGTGGCAACACTGCTGTAGAGACGCCGTGCAATGGAACCAAATAATGTCGCTTATACCACATGTTAGTTACATACCTACCTTACCTCAGAGCAAATGGACTCTCCCTTCCCACATCACGCTCATGCGCAGTGATGAGAAGAACAGAGCCTTGTGTTAGCTGGCGGTCTAATGTAGTGTTGTCACATTATTTTCGAAACAGGATCAACGGAGTTGGATAAAGATTGAATGTGTCAGAGACCGTACAGTATGACAGTGTCATAAAGGTCTTCAAGAGGATTGCGGGGAATCTGCATTGACTTACAGAATAGTGGCAAGGTGGGTAAAAGCCTTCAACGAGGGACGCCAAAATGTGGCAGACATGCATCGGCCAGGTCGTCCTAGTGTCAGTGAAGAAGTGTATGCTCTTTCCATGTTACTGGAGAGTGATCAACACCATACATAGTTCGTGACATGGCCCAAGAGACAAGTTTAGTGCATATGACTGTGCTTCACATTCTGAAGGAATGCCTGGGCATGAGAAAAATTGCATCATGATGGGTTCTGCATGATTTGACGGAAATGCAGAAATGGCAAGCTGTGGCTGATTTGTTTGATCGATGGGGCTGGGAAGTGCTGTACCATCCACCATACTCCCCGGACTTAAGCCCTTGTGACTTTGACTTGATTCCTAAGATGAAGGAACTACTTCATGGCCTTAGCTTCAGAGCTGTTCCAGAGATTCTTCAGGCAGTAGACCGCTCCATTCGAACTATCAGCACAACAGGCTCTGCTAAAGGTATCCTACGACTTCCACATCGCTGGTAACGGGTTGTACACAATGCTGGTGACGACATTGAAGGAAGTAAAACTTCGAAACATGCATCTATTTTGTATCAGTTGTAAATAAATAGTTGCCACTATTAAAGTTCCAATCCTCGTACGTAAGTCTCAGAGATACAATCACCTACATCAATCAGATCATACAAATTATATTACAAAAAGACCTTAATCAATTTACACGATTCAAAGAAGACATTGATATAACAAAGCTCTTCAGTGCAAATATAAAATCTTGTTTCAAGAAGTTAAATAAATTGCCTGAATATTAATGAGCCAATCATACCACCATTTCCACCACAATTAAAACTATAACAAGTAACAGAGTGCATCTTGGACCAGACACACATGTCAGAAGAATAAAATAATTATAATAATATAAAATATTCACTTAATAATATATATATTGTTACGTGATGAGTATGTAACGCAACAAATAACTTCACGCCGTTGTGGATGTAGCGAATTAATTCCACATTTGCTCATACACTTATACAATTCACAGTTACACAATTACTGCCATCGACAGTATCACAATTACTTCCACTGCTCTCGGCGACTTGACGATCCACACTGTGTCACTCCTGATCACACACTCTCTTCACATACTTCTCAGCCAGCTTTTTATAGCGTTCCCTGTTGCCTCGTGTTACCAGCGGTGTCCACTTGTTACGTCACAGTGGGAAGTGCTGTTACGTCACCGCGGGGGGAGGGGGGGCAGAGTGTTGACTGACCTGTTACCATAGCAGCGACAGTGCTCCGATGCTGTTACGTCACTGCTGGGGGGGAGGGGGGTCCTGCATAGCACAAATATGTCACAGTATATATATGTATACAATTGAAAGTCCCATTAATGAGTTTTATTGTCACTGTAGTTAAAAAATTATCTATATTGTAAAATGAGTGTGAATGTAAAACTGTAATAACGCTTTCTTAAATTGATTTTTGTCTCTGAACAATTGTTTTATATTACCTGGAAGACTGTCATAAATTTAATTCCAATATACTGTGGACCCTTCTGAAAAACTATAAAATTTGATAAAGGGAGCTGCAAGTTCAAACTATTCCTCTTTAGTGTTGTATACAGCTTGGAATTTTCAACAAACATTTCCATATTACCAACTACAAACATCATCAAGGAATATATACACTGTCACGTGTTGGGTGTATAACACGACAAATAACTTCACGCCGTATTGAATATAGTGAATTTATTGCACATTCATTCTTACATTTACACAATTCACAATTACACCACTACTGCCGTCGACAGTATCACAGATACTTCTCCTGTAGTCATTTCCATTCACTCGATACAACTCAACTCAGCGACTGCTAGACTGCAACTGACTGGTTACTTTCTTTCTAGTAACTAGCTCAATACTCACTACTCACTACTCTAGTAGCTTCCACACTGACAACATAGAAAACAGTTACACGATAGCTACAACTGTTGCATAACGTCGTGTTTACAGGCATTGCTGGAGAACGCTGCTGAGAGTTGTTTATTGCTGCGTAGTAACTGCGGTGTCCCTTGTTATGTCACTGTGGGAAGTGCTGTTACCTCACCACGGGAGGCAACGGAGTGTTTACCGAACGTTGCGTAATAATGGAAGGGATGGAGATATGTGACATGACTAGCAAAGTTCACGTGACCCCTACTTCCCGTTGCGCCATCCATGTCACAATATATATATATATATATATATAGAGGGCAGAGGTAGCATTTTCAATTGACTAAAAATTCTTCTACATGATTCTCTCTTCCCAGCTCCCACAATTAATAGAACAGCTCTCTTCTGCAGTCTAAAAGCACGCTTACTATGCGTTGAATTTCCCCAGAAAATCAAGCCATAAGGCATTACTGAATGAAAAAAGGCAAAGTACATCATTTTTAGAACATCATTACAGAAGTACTGTTTGGATTTCCTAATTATGTAACAGGCTCTATATTATTTTATGACATGTTCTGTATCCATTTTTGAATCTCTTGAACTTACAATAAATACAAATACAATGGATGTTACTTGTAAACTAGAAATAAAATATTTAGTCATAGGTCTATATGTTAGTGAAAATATGAAATGGGATGCATATGAAAAGTCACTAAGTGCCACACTCAGTACCTTTAGTTATAATAACACAAAACCTTCAGTAGGTAATGAGCCCAAATATTGTACAGAGTGTTTATTTTACAAACTTTTATACTTATTTGAGGAACAGTTCAAATTTCTGGGCTGGTGGTACTGAAGACAAAAGTATTTTTAAATTGAAAACTGGCTTGTACAAATAATCAGTGTTGTAGGGACATACACATTATGTAGAATACTTCCTAGGGATATAAATATGCTTACATTAGCTTCCATGTTTATAATGGGTGTAACATGTCACATGAAATTAAATGCGGAGTAGTTTGAAGAACTTTAATTTATAATCACAATACATGCCAGATGTCAAACCTCCACTTTCAGTTATGTAGAATGAGTGTTCTAAAAAAGTGTATAATGAATATAGAAATACAGTTATTCTCTAAATTTCCAAATCAAATTAGGAAATTGTAGATCCTTTGTATTACAATCTACATTTTACTCTGTACATGAATTTGTCATAATGATTAACATAAGATGATTATTAAGTATGTTGCATACACTGTGTGTGCCTTGTAGTAGGCAACAGCCATAGTGGATATGAATACACTCTGAGACTGGATATTCTTTAAGTGAAACATAACTTCTGCAGAGGATTCAGCAAAGAGTTTGATCCATGCATTCAACAGCTGGTAATGGCAAGTCTAGACATTTATAAGAAATCACGAGTCTACTTGCTGCCAACACCTGCCAAGTCACATTACCTTTTCAACCTGCGAGACTTCTCAAGGGTTATTCAGGTGAGCAAGCAGTTAAAGTAATTTATTTGCTTTGTAGTTTATTTGACAATGCCTTTTCAATGGCACAGATTAGTATATGGAATTTAATTGAATTTGGGAATTCTCACTGATGAATTGTAAGAGGTGTGGAATAAGATAATACTGTCTTATTTGAAGGAACGATATTAACATTTACCTGAAGGATGGAAATACCCATGAAAAATCTCAGTCAGTATAGCTGGCTTCCTGGCCAAGAATTGAGTCTAGAATCTCTTGAATATGAAACATGATTGTTACTCATTCAACCATGTTTTTCAGTATGCAAGTGATTGATTGATTGATTGATTTATTTATTTAACATCCATAACTGTTACATTATGTACAATTGGACAAGTCAGTTTTTAAAAAATATATGAGATTAAACATCACATCAAATGACTAATAATATAAAAAACCATAGAAAAATAACATAATAAGTCCTTTAAATATGATAAAACAGTGGATGAGTATAATAAGGCAACAAAAGCTAAACTATAAATTACATGCAATAGCTAAAATAAATTACCTAAGTATCTTTGTTCTATTATTAAGCTAATTCTTGTAAAAATATTCTTGAAGGGAATAAAAAGCTTTGCACAACAAGTAATCCTTTAATTGACGCTTAAAAACCTTGAACTCTTGAATACTTCTTATTTGAGAGGGCAAGTTATTATACAATCTTATTCCCATGTTAATCACACTCCTTTTACAATGTGAGGTGTTACATGGTTGGACATACAAATTCTGCTTATGTACTGTGTTATAACCGTGCACATCTGAATACGAGATGTTATATATCCTATTTTTCCTTAAAAAACACAACGTCTCAAAGATATACAATGAAGTTAAGGTTAAAATTTTAAATTCACCAAAAAATTCTCTACACGATATCCTGTTATTGACTCTTTTGATCAGTCTTAAACATTTTTTTTTGGATTTTAAATACAGTTTGAATGTCCTTTTGACCACAGCCCCAAAAAATAATACCATATCTCAATAAAGATTCAAATTTCGCAAAATACACACTTCTCACACTTAATATAGATTAATACAACAAACATCAAATAATGAATCATTCAGTTGTAGCAAATGTTACTCAGTCTTCACTGGGGTTCTTACAGTGGTGACTGTGCAGAATACTATCTTCCTTGGAGTACTTTGTGTATTCTGAATAAACTCCATCGATATTTTGGAGAAACACATTTACCACTCAGTCTTAAACATGAAGACAATACATTCCTCTAACATTCTGCTGAACTTGATCCAGATTACATGGCATTACTTCCCAGAAGATAGTATTCTTCATTATTTCTTCTTGTTTTCATTCATTTCGGAAACTATTACAGTTTAATCTATTTTCAAATATTTTGTTCAGGGTGTGTTATTATCTGTGCCTGAAGCTATGGAGGACTTGATCTCCATGAAGAGGCTGTGGGTGCATGAGGTTCTGCGAGTGTACTGTGACAGGCTTGTGGATAGCAGTGACCGCAACTGGTTGTTTGACCAGCTCCATATGGTAGCAAATGAGAGGCTGGAAGAGGATATGGATGAGATGTTCTTGCAGCTCAGAACAGATGATAAGAAAGTAATTCTTATATATGGGATAGACTCTGTGCATTTAACATTCTCTTTTTTTTTCTTCTTCTCACCTTACTACTCTTCCTTCTGCATCCATTTCAGTTTTAAGTATTGTGTAAATGGGAGTCATATAAACTGTGTCAGAAGTCTCTTCTTTTCTAACGATTACTTGAAACTTAGGAATGCATTTCTGTAAGAATTCTTTACAAGCTGTTAGTGATGCTTGTTTTCCAGGTTTGTGAGGAAGATATGAGGAAACTGATCTACTGCGATTTTGCAAATCCTAAAGCTGATTCAAGGAACTATATTGAGGTTCTGGACTTAAACCATTTGCGCTCTGTGTGTGAGGGCTACCTCAACGAGTTTAACAATATGTCCAAGAAGCCCATGAACCTTGTGTTGTTCAGGTATATGTCCTCTATAGATTATGGCTTGAAAGTACCCAAACATCACAGCCACTTTTATTTTAAAAAATTATATATCTTTGTATTTAAATACCATTTTCTTTACAACAGTGACTGGTCTAAAAAGTTAAGACACAAAATGAAAGTCTCTTACACCAAGCATTGTGGTATAGTGATTAGCATTCCAGCTATTTAGGAAACTTCAGGTTAGAGCCTTATCCTGGAGCTTGATTATTATGTTGGATGTGTTTGTGGTTCTTTTCAGTTTCTCAAGATAATTCTGGGATAGTACTGTAACTAGCCAATAACTATTTACATTTACATTTTTCAAATTCTTCATTCACAGTTATCCGATAATTTCATATCATATTACCTACACACTTGAAATAGTGTCCTTTAATAACCAAAGAATTAATCAATTAATCAATATTTGTTTCTTACTTCTGTGTAGATAGGGTTCACAAATGTTTCTTTGTGTTGTGGATAACTGAAAGTCATGGATTATACTGTGTAGACTGAAGCATGTGCAGTTTAATAGAATCTTCTCATGCTATCAGCCATGTGATTTGGTTACAAATTACTGATATTTTGATGGACCATTTCAGTTGGTAATTTTTAATTAACTGACATGACTGATAGCCTGAGAAGTTTTTTATATACTTTAGCTGTTGTGAAAACATCAGATCTTACATATGTTCAGTTTTATTTATTGCAAATACCCAGATTTAATTTGTGAATATGTACTGTATACCTGACTCTTGTGCAGTTCAGTATAGGATCAAAGGGTAGCCTTTCAAAAGCCCAGTAATGAAGTTTAAGGTTCCATGAAAGCATGGAGTTTCTTGACCAACTGAATAACTCTCAGCTTTTTGAAGAATGCATTGCATTATGGGGTAAGTCTGACGTTTGGTGGGCATGCTGTCCCTGGAAAACTTTTATAAATCTGAGATGAGTTAAAAAAAGTTATGAATTATAAACAGGCCTTTATGAAAGAAAAAATTGTGTGCCTCAAAACCTGTTGAAGGGGTGGTATTCACGAAAATTTACATCCTAGTTTTATTGTACTGAGTGATTCTGTTAAACCTAAAATCAGTCTAGCATTAATTTCTTTTCTTGTTCAAGGTTTGCTATTGAGCATCTATCCAGGATATGTCGGATTCTGAAACAGCCTCGAAGTCATGGGCTGCTGGTTGGGGTGGGAGGTTCAGGGCGACAGTCTCTCACTCGCCTTGCAGCACATATATCTGAGTATGAGCTTTTTCAGGTGAGCTTCCAGTAAATTAATTTGTATAAATTGATATTCTTTAGTAGTTTACTCTTATGCCTGTGGTTCTGTATGGGTGTGAAACTTGGTCTCTGAAATTAAGGGAGGAACATAAGACTGAGGGTGTTTGAGAACAGGGTGTTGAGGAGAATATTTGGACCGAAGAGAGATGCAGTGACAGGAGGTTGGAGAAAACTGCATAATGAGGAGCTTCATAACTTGTACTCTTCACCAAGTATAATTAGAATGATCAAGTCAAGGAAGATGAGGTGGGCAGGGCATGTAGCACGAAAGGGGGGAGAAAAGGCATGCATATAGTATGATAAATGATATAATGATACAAATTCCGTCCCAAATGCAAACAATGTATTATGTGTGCTTGATCTTGCTCCTCTACACTACATGTTTCGGCCTCAGACGGCCATCATCAGGTGTATAACACTCACGTTGCTGTCACACTGCACTCACCACAAAATTTAACATTTCAAACACTTTCCTTGTTATTATCAACATCTAC